ACAGGCCAGGTCAATAACAACGGAGCAGACAGTACTAGACGGTAGGCAAAGAATACTCAGGTCACGGGCCGGGTTCAGCAACGGGAGGTCAGGTAAAGGGTTAACACAGAGAGTAGTCTTGTCCAAGCCGAGTCGGTTACCAGGAGAGCAACGAGAACAGCACAAGCGCTTGAGACAAGGAAACATACAGGACACGAATGTAGAGAGCACTTGCAGACAGCAGGTTTAAATGTGATCAACCACACCCTTCTGAGGAGGAGCTACAGAGGCCTGAAGGCATAAAGGTTCCCACCATGCTTTGCAGAAACCTAAGATGGACGCCAGCACATGGAGATGCACAAGCTCTGAGGAAAGGTAGGACCTTGACACACACGCAGCACAGGGACCAGGTGGGATCTGAGAGAGGCTGTGGGTGCTTGATGGTGTATACAGAGGCTGACTCTTGTTCCCGGTGATGTCCGGAGCTGTGAAGGTGAGTGTCTTATCTCTTGTCAGGGTGGGGGTTGCCAGTGTATGGGGGGGCGGTGGTAGTGAAAGGCTCTCTCGGGTGGGGGGTGCTGGGGTGTTGTTGGTCAATGGGGGAAGCCAATTTTTGTGTTGCCTAGGGCAGCACAAATCCTAAATACACCACTGGCACACAGGAAACAGTACATTGATTGCTTGGCTGTGATTGGAGGACGGTGTTACAATATTTTGAAAGCGTCCCTTCTGATAAACTTCCATTGGATGTGTTATCTTGTAGAATGGACTGGAGTGAATGCAAATGCTGCGTGAACCTTTTCCCACCCAGCTCCAGCTAATAATGAGACTGGTTCCCACCATAGTCTATTGAAGGTCAGCTTTGCACGCCCTAGGCCTGAATAGCTCTACACACATTTTTTTTGCAAACACCTAATACTTTACTGTGGTTCAGATGCAATTAACAAATAGTCATGTCCACAATTAGGGCTAGTGTTAGTTCTGTCTCCTTGCTGGTGGAGCTTGTTGGAGAGTGTTCTAGCAAGCCGGTCCCTGGAGCTACAAAAAGAGGCTCTTGCCCAGCAAGGCATGCTAAGGCACCATCTTGTCCCACTGGTTTCTTGAAGGTTAGCTTTGCAGGTCCCAGGCCTGGATAGCACTACATGCTTTATTGAAACCTTATATATCACTGTGGTTTTGATGCAATTAACAAATAGTCATGTCCACAATTGGGGTCACTGGAACACAGGTGGCTAGGCGTTTTGGCTAGTGCATCAGAGGAACCTACCCGGTCATCACCCTGATTAACAACTGTAATTGATCATCGTCACTCCTATCCCAAAACTGGCTGCTAGAGGGATTTCCCCAGGTATAGGCTGGGCATATTTCTATGTTAGTTCTGTCTCCTTGTTGATGGAGCTTGTTGGAGAGCACTCTAGCAAGCCAGTTCCTGTAGGTACAAAAAGAGGCTCTTGCCCAGCAAGGCATGCTAAGGCACCATTTTTGTCCCATTGGTTCCCAACACAGTTTCTTGAAGGTTAGCTTTGCAGGTCCCAGGCCTGGATAGCACTACATACTTTATTGAAGAGACCTTATATATCACTGTGGTTTGGATGCAATTAACAAATAGTCATGTCCACAGTTGGGGACATGGCAGCACAGGTGGCTAGGTGATTTGGCTAGTGCACCTGAGGAACCTACCTGATCATTACTCTGACTGACCACTGTAATTGAACAACACCATTCCTATCCCAAAACCGGCTGCTAGTGGGATATCCCCAGGTATAGACTGGGTAGGACCTTGACACACACGCAGCACAGGGACCAGGTGGGATCTGAGAGAGGCTGTGGGTGCTTGATGGTGTATGCAGAGCCTGGCTCTTGTTCCCGGTGATGTCCGGAGCTGTGAAGGTGAGTGTCTTATCTCTTGTCAGGGTGGGGGTTGCCAGTGTATGGGGGGCGGTGGTAGTGAAAGGCTCTCTCGGGTGGGGGGTGCTGGGGTGTTGTTGGTCAATGGGGGAAGCCAATTTTTGTGTTGCCTAGGGCAGCACAAATCCTAAATACACCACTGGCACACAGGAAACAGTACATTGATTGCTTGGCTGTGATTGGAGGACGGTGTGTTACAATATTTTGAAAGCGTCCCTTAATCACCCTGATTAACAACTGTAATTGATCATCGTCACTCCTATCCCAAAACTGGCTGCTAGAGGGATTTCCCCAGGTATAGGCTGGGCATATTTCTATGTTAGTTTTGTCTCCTTGTTGATGGAGCTTGTTGGAAAGCGTTCTAGCAAGCCAGTTCCTGGAGCTACAAAAAGAGGCTCTTGCCCAGCAAGGCATGCTAAGGCACCATCTTGTCCCATTGGTTCCCAACACAGTTTCTTGAAGGTTAGCTTTGCAGGTCCTAGGCCTGGATAGTACTGTCCACAGTTGGGACCACTGCAGCACAGATGGCTAGGTGACTTGGCTAGTTCATCTGAGTGAAATCCCTCATTATGGATCCAGCTATTCTCAGAAAATAGACCCCCCCCCAGGTCCTACTGAACTGGGACCTCAATGAACTGCTGAAAACTTCAGCTGCACTGCCCGGAAAGGGCAACAGCCCTTCAGCCTGGGAGCTTCTCCTCCTGGTCAAGACCCTGCTGCTCCAGGCCCCAGACTATTTATGCACTCCTCAGCCACCTACTGGGCATCCTCCTCCCCAGGGACTGGCTGAGGCTACATACATTTTCAGGCCAAGGGTCTGCCCCTTCCAAACCACTACAATTGAAAATCCACTAGAAGGCAGGGGAAAGCAGTCGAACCTGCAACTAGTGAGACCCAGGTCAGCCAAAAATAATCACACTCTACTCCAATGACTACAGGGGAGCTAAAGAACTAGATTTACCTAAATCTTTCTCGCCACCTATCTAAGTGGGTGCTACAGCGATGAGGAACCAAATGACACCTTACCAAAATCCATTCTTCTCAATGCCTATTTCTTTTTTTATATATCAGTTCTTTTTTCATTTCTTTTTTTTTTTTGTAATTCTGGGCCATGTGTGAAAATCACCGTGAACGCTGATAGCTAAGGCCAGCCATACATGGGTTGAAATTCGACCGATTTTTCATCCGAAAATCAGACTTAACAATATTCGGCCGGATTGTTAGTGGGTCGGTGGCACCGGCCAATTTTCATGGTCCCTCCCCTTTTTGGTGATCAGGTATGTTGGAAAATTCATGAAAAACGACTGATTTTCGACTCAATGATGGTCAAATCGTACAAACATTTTTTCTGAAAAGAATATGCGCCATGACCCCTGACCTGAGAGGAACAGAAGTTTTGCCTGTTCTATGGGATGAACTTTATGACTCGGTCGGCCGATTTTCGAAATCAATGATGGCACCATTGGATTACCGAGCGAACAACGTTTCCGATTTTCGGATGAAAAATCATTCGGAATTCGAAACATGTACGGCCTGCATAAGCAAAGCTAATAAGCCCAGCAAATCAGCAGAGCATTTCTCTGCAGTGCTGGAATGATACCTACAGTAGCTGCTCACCACCGCTGTATGTCCAATAATACTGAAGCAGTTGTGCGCAATCAATGTTTTTATTCATTATTTAATAATCAGATTTACTTCTTAATTATGAATTGTTTACCTTCTGGCAGAAGAGAGTGAGATACACACATGGATTCCATCAACGCAAATGCTGGTTATGTCAGTGCTGGGCTACCTGCCCATGTTACCAAGAATGTTCTGATTAAAGAAGAATACCGCAAAGAAGGGCGGACTGACCATTTGGAAACTCGGGCACTGCCCGAGGGCCCAGGGTCAGTAGGGGGCCCCATGAGATGCCCCTGTTGCCTTTTTCATAGGCTTTTTTGAGTGTGGGTAAGGACACAGGGGCCCCATGATCCCCTATTGCCCGGGGGCCCCATGAGTTGTCAGTCCGCCCCTGCCGCAAAGAGATATTTATCTTTAAACTGACCATATAGAATGACCCCAAAATGACAAGCATTCTTCATAAAGGGCTGTCTTTTTAGTAGTTTAGATATAAACTGATAGAGAGGAAGTAAGGGGGGGGGGGAGTGAGAAAGATTGAGAGAGAAGAAAGGAATAAATTAAATAGAGATTAAATAAAAGGAAACTAAATAAAAAAAATCAAGAGAGAGAGGAAAGAAGGAGAAAGAAAGTGGAAGGAAAGAAGAAAGATAAAGAAGAAGTAAGGGGGAAAGAGTGAGAAAAATTATACCTGAAATTGTACGCCCCTTTTGGGTGAGGGACTGATGTGAATGTACAATATATATATGTAAAGCGCTGTGTGAATTGACAACGCTATATAAGTACCTGAAATAAATAAATCAATTATGAGAGAGAGAGAAAGAAAGAAGGAAGGAAAGAGAGGGGGAGGAAGGAGGGAAGGATGGTAAAAAGGAGAGAATGAAAGGAAATTAGAGGTAGGGGATGTCGTAAGTTATAGATTATTGTTATAATTAGAAGTAGGTTTGCAAATATTATTATTATTATTCAGGATTATTATACAGGATTTATATATCTCCAACAGTTTGCTCAGCACTTTACAATATAATGGGAGACAATACAGCAACAATACAGTTCAATACAAGAGGGATAGGAGGGCCCTGATCCTGGAAGCTTACAATCTAAGAGTAAATATATTGTATACGGTATTTCTGCGTTCAGCCCTAAATATATATTTGGCTGTACGCACCCATAATTTACTACGTACAGAGAAGAGTGGAAGAAAAGCAGCAGGGTGGAAGAAAAAAGAGAGGAAGTAAGGGGGGGGGGGGAGAAAGATTGAGAGAGAAGAAAGGAATAAATGAAATAGAGATTAAATAAAAGGAAAGAAAATTAAAAAAAATCAAGAAAAAGAGGAGAGAGAGAGAGAGAGGGGGAAAGAAAGTGGAAGGAAAGAAGAGAGATAAAGAAGTAAGGAGGAAAGGGTGAGAAAAATTATACCTGAAATTGTACGCCCTTGAGGGTTAGGGACTGATGTGAATGTACAATACTGTACAGGGGCTGACTGACAACTCATGGGGCCCCCGGGCAATAGGGGATCATGGGGCCCCTGTGTCCTTGCCCAAACTCAAAAAAAACCTATGAAAAAGTTACAAAGAGCATCTCATGGGGCTCCCTACTGACCCGGGCCCTGGGGCAGTGCCCGAGTTTCCAAATGGTCAGTCCGCCCCTGATACTGTATACATGTAAAGCGCTGTGTAAATTGACGGCGCTATATAAGTACCTGAAATAAATAAATTATGAGAGAGACAGAGAGAAAGAAAGAAGGAAGGAAAGAGAGGGGGAGAAGAAAGGAAGAAATTAAATAGAGATTAAATAAAAAAAAAGAAAATGAAAAATCAAGAAAAAGAGGAGACAGAGAGAGAGAGGGGGGAAAGAAGGAGGAAGGAAAAAGAAGGGAGATAAAGAAGAAGTAATGAGAAGGCCAGAGGCAAGAAATATCAATGTAAAATCTTTACGGCTGTCAATAATGTTCTGGATATGAAACAAAATATAAGTTGTATGTTCTGTATGCAGGAAATAGAGAGAGATCAGAGAGGGAGAGAGTCTGGAAGGAAGTAGAAAGGACAAGGAGAGAAAGGGGCAGAGAGACAAAGAACACCATTAGGCCCAGCGGTAGTTTAATATTTCTTTCACTTGATATTGGACTCCTTTAAATGAAGCATTTTGTCACATCGCTCGCAGGGCTCCAAAAATGATAAGTAAAATATATTGCAGGCCAAGCAGCCGTTAACTGTTGAAGGGATGAAATAATTTGCCAGGGCTGCCTTCCACAACAGGAAATCAATACGTATGATCATTAAGCTTAAGCTATGCCTGCTATAAGAGGTAATAGAAAAAAAAAAAAAAAAAAAAAAAGATTGATCTTAAAACATTTCCTTGATTTCTCATCGCACATCTTCAGGGGAATTCAATGGAATTAGAACAGCAGAATCCCTTAAATAAAACGAACACAGCGGTCAATAATTCAGAGGCTTCATAAACTGCGCCTTCTCTATCCTGGATCTTATTAAAAAATATTAAGCTATTTTTTCAGATCACATTTGTTGGTTAAATGAAACATCGATGGACATTAAATATTAAGGCGTTAAATGTTAGCAGACTGAAAACATCTTTAGAGGACAATCCCGGCCAACATGGACACTTCACTGCCGACTGAGGCTTTGTGTGTTACAGAACAAGCCCGGCTTTTTACAGTAGATGCAAAAAAGTGAAATTTGATTTGTTGTGGAAAACGATTAGATGTGTTATTTGTGCTTAACCGCTTCCCCCTACCGGGCACTTCTACCCCCTTCCTGCCAGGCACTTCTACCCCCTTCCTGCCGGGCACGTCTACCCCCTTCCTGCCGGGCACTTATACCCCCTTCCTGCCGGGCACTTATACCCCCTTCCTGCCGGGCACTTCTACCCCCTTCCTGCCTGGCATTTATACCCCCTTCCATACCGGGCACTTCTACCCCCTTCCTGCCAGGCCCTTATACCCCCTTCCTGCCGGACACTTCTACCCCCTTCCTGCCGGGCACTTCTACCCCCTTCCTGCCTGGCATTTATACCCCCTTCCTGCCTGGCACTTATACCCCCTTCCTGCCGGGCACTTATACCCCCTTCCTGCCGGGCCCTTATACCCCCTTCCTGCCGGGCACTTATACTCCTTTCCTGCCGGGCACTTATACCCCCTTTCCTGCCAGGCACTTATACCCCCTTCCTGCCAGGCCCTTATACCCCCTTCCTGCCGGGCACTTATACTCCCTTCCTGCCCTGGGCACTTATACCCCCTTCCTGCCGGGCACTTATACTCCTTTCCTGCCGGGCACTTATACCCCCTTCCTGCCGGGCACTTCTACCCCCTTCCTGCCTGGCATTTATACCCCCTTCCTGCCGGGCACTTATACCCCCCTTCCTGCCGGGCACTTATACCCCCCTTCCTGCCGGGCACTTATACCCCCTTCCTGCCGGGCCCTTATACCCCCTTCCTGCCGGGCCCTTATACCCCCTTTCCTGCCGGGCCCACTTATACCCCCCTTCCTGCCAGGCACTTATACCCCCTTCCTGCCGGGCACTTATACCCCCTTCCTGCCGGGCACTTATACTCCCTTCCTGCCGGGCACTTATACCCCCCTTCCTGCCGGGCACTTATACTCCCTTCCTGCCGGGCACTTGTACCCCCCTTCCTGCCGGACACTTGTACCCCCTTCCTGCCAGGCACTTGTACCCCCTTCCTGCCAGGCACTTATACCCCCTTACTGTTGGGCACTTATACCCCCTTACTGCTGGGCACTTATACCCCCCTCCATACCAAGCACTTGTACCCCCTTCCTGCCGGGCACTTATACCCTCTTTCATACAGGGAACTTATACCCCCTTCCTGCCGGACATTTATACCCCCTTCCTGCTGGACCTTTATACCCCCTTCCTGCCAGGCACTTTTACCCCCTTCCTGCTGGGCACTTATACCCCCTTCCTGCCAGGCACTTATACCCCCTTCCTGCCAGGCACTTATACCCAGGGGCGGACTGACAACTCATGGGGCCCCTGGCAATAGGGGATCATGTGGCCCTGTGCCCACACTCAAACCACATCCACAAAAGCCTATGAAAGGTACCAGGGACATCTCATGGGGCCCCCTACTGACCCTGGGCCCTCGGGCACTGCCGGGTACCCGAATGTTCAGTCCACCACCCCTGCTTATACCCCCTTCCAGTCCAGGCCAATTTTCAGTTTTCAGTGCTCTCACACTTTGAATGACAATTGCGCGGTCATGCAACACTGTACCAATATGACTTTTTTATCATTTTTTTCACACAAATAGAGCTTTCTTTTGGTGGTATTTAAACACCACTGAGCTTTTATTTTTGGCTAAATAAAACAAAAAATACCTGATACTTTAAAAAAAAAAAAAAAAAAAAACGCTTTTCTTCGTTTCTGTTATAAAATTTTGCAAATAAATAACATTTCTTCATAAATTTAGGTCAAAATGTATTCTGCTATATTTCCTTGGTGAAAATAATAATAATAAATAATTGAATTTGTATTTTTTTTCAAATGTTTCTAATTTTTTTTTTATTTTTTATTACATTTTTTTTCTTTTTTTTTTTACTATTTTATTTTTCAGCACACTGTGACCAAAGCAATACAGTGTTACCATAGTAAATGATCAGCATTTTTTTAAAAATTTTTGCAAATAACATTTCTTCATACATTTAGGTCAAAATGTATTCTGCTACATTTCTTTGGTGAAAATAATAAATATATTTATTATTTCATGTATTTCATGGATATTTGCAATCATTGTTACTGAATGAAACTGATTCATCCAGTCTTTTGTTGTGATTAGCTGTGATTGGGCAAAGCTGATCTCATGATACACAGATGGGCTGTGATTGGCCCTGTCTGTATCATGTGAGTGCCTTCACCAGTCACAGCTAACAACATAATTGTATACAATGGATGGCATGACGGGAAGCCATCCATTGTATACAACTGACATGTGATCTGCTGTGATTGGTCCAAGCTGGCCTCCACATGACATTCTCCGCCATTGACCTTTACATCCCGAGGAACAAAAGTCCACATATATGAGTAGATTTGCTGCACTTTACTGATGGAATTCAGTGAATAGTATAACAGTCACATCACATCGGCTTACAGTCTGGAGTCACTTGACATTACACAGCCAATGACATTTAGTGGACGGTCTGCAGTAGTCACATGTGAAAGCCTATGCAGCACTTTTAGCAGCCATCTCCCTCTAACAGTATCTCCTTCCACCCAGGGTCCTTAGTGTGCACATGACTGTGCTCTCTATAGTCACCTCCTCCATAGGTACGCCTATTCTGGGACCCTTTAAAGAAGCAACATCACTCTGCCTGGCAGTACTGGGGTCCTTGGGTCGAATCCCAACCACAGCACACCTGCCTGGAGTTTGCATGTTCGTCCCCTGTGCCTGCATGGGTTTCCTCCGCCTTTGTCGGCCTCAGCTGTCAATCACCAAGTCCCGACCGGTGATTCCCCGCTGGCACCCGGCGATCATCGAGTATCACTGACAGGGGAGAGACCTGTACAATACAGATCTCTCCCCTGTCAGCTCCTGCACATTGCTTTGTATTGCTCTGCATAGCAAATGTGCTGCCGATCATCATTATTATCAATTTATTATTAATTTTAATTAGCACCAAGGAAGTTACCGAACTCCTTTCCAAGGCCCACTTCACCACCTGTCCCCTGGATCCTGTCCCCTCACGACTGTTGCAGCCTCCTTCCTGCTCTATCCTAAACTCTCTAACCCACATCTTCAACTCTCACTCTCCACGGGCACCTTTCCCTCCACACTCAAACATGCACTGGTTTACCCCCATTCTCAAAAAACCCTCGTTGGACCCCACCCTGTTTAAATAACTTAAGACCCATCTCCTTGCCTCCAAAGCTTCTCGAGCGCCTTGTTCACAACCGTATGAACTGCTACCTCACCAACAACAACCTTCTTGATCCCCGACAGTCTGGCTTCCACGCACAACATTCCACAGAAACTGCCCTACTAAAACTCACTAACAACCTACTACCTGCCTAAAAACCAACGGCCATTACTCCATACTCCTACTCCTTGAGACCTTTCCGCTGCCTTTTGACACAGTCGACCACCCGCTCCTACTCAGTATTACTCCACTCCATTGGCCTCCGTGACTCTGCTCTCTTCACTGGTATGCTCCTCTTACCTTTCTCATCACACTTTCAGTGTCACATTACAACTTCTCCTCCTCCGCGACTCATCCCCTTCCTGTTGGAATGGTACCCCAATGGTTCTGTTCTTGGGCCCCTCCTTTTCTCTATCCATACCTCCTCCCTGGGCCAACTGATAATCTCCCATGGCTTCCAATACCACCTCTAGATTGCTGATGACACCAGTTCTATCTCTCCGATCCCCAGCTCACCCCCTCAATCTCCTCACGTATCACAAATCTACTAAATGACATAATCAGATATGGATGTCACATCACTACCTAAACACTCAATCTTTCCGACTTCCGGTTCCGGCGCTGGCATGCTGTGAGGAGGTGAGGAGACCCGCGGCTCCCGGTATCCCCGCATATAAAGCCGGCATTTCTGCGCAGGGGGACTCCTGTCAAGCTGCTTCAGGAGCTCCCCACTGGCCCCCCCACCCGCACGATCCTCGGTACCTTCGGCATGGAGCGGTTTCCTACCTGAACCGAATCCAAAGCAGGGCTCAGGTCACACCACGAGG